ATGAATCTGATATTAAATACATGCAAAAAGTTCAATATGCTAATGCTGTAGGGTCTGTTATGTATACTATGGCATGTACCAGTCTTGATATTGTACGTGCTATAAGTATTTTGAGTAGATTTATGGCAAATCCTAGTCCTGAACATTGGACTACCTTAAATTGGCTATTAAGATACTTAAAAGGAGCAGTCGATTTAAGTTTGCATTTTAAATCTTGTAAAGAGGGATTTATTTTGAGAGAATATGTGGATTTTGATTATGTTGGTAATAGAGATAATAGAAAATCAACAACAGCTTATATGTTTACTTTTTGTGATACTTGCATAAGTTGGGAATCTCAATTGCAGTCCATTGTTTCCTTATCTACCATAAAAGTTGAATATGTTTGAGGCTTAAAGGTTTGTTATGTGAATTAAATAAATTGGTTAATCCTGTGGTTGTTTATTCAGATAGTCAAAGTGTCATCCATTTATATAAAAACCCTATTTTTTAGTGATAAAACTAAACATATAGATATTAGGATGTGCTTCATTAGAGATATAATGCAAAAAGAGTCCATACTACTTGAAAAAATCCCAACTCAATTCAATTCCGCTAATATGGGAACCAAAGTACTTCCTCTCAACAAATTTAAATCATGCTAGCAAATTTTAAGAATTGATACTGGGTAATCTTTGTGTTGGTGCATTAACAAAATCAACTTGGTGCTGATGATCATGAAGAAAATGATAAAGTGTTCTGAAGAGTTCATTTGTCAAACTTTCGTTTTTAAATCATTGGCATCAAGGGGGAGATTTGATGGGCTGTGATGCTATATTAAAGTGGCTCGATCCATGGGCTATGATGAAATTGAGCTAAGCCCACTTGTCGATATTAATCTGCCATTGCTTAATAACGCAAAATGGAAAGGCCCAAACCCGAGCCCAAATATGGATGACACGTGTGCTGCTCTAGACTGTTGATCACCAACTAGTTGAGATTCACGGTGATTAATGCGGGTATTTAAGTTGCCTGAGTGGTTGCCCTAATTGATTTTTTGATCTACTTTCTATGAGAAGCTTCTGGGTTCTCTTTCTGTATCTCTTCTCATTCTCTTTTTCGTCTACTGTGTGTTGTTCGTGCGAAGCGCATAAGCGTATAGAATTGTTGACATGTAACAGAATTGATGAGCTAAAGTATCGTCCTACATGAAATAAATTCAATTCAAGTGTATTAACTTTTTATGGGATTCAAATTACGTAAACAAAAGAGAGTTTGATTTTATTTTATATTTAATTAATTTAAGAAGGCTGTAAAAATGTGAATTTTATCAATTT